ATTTTTTTTTTTTTTTTTTTTTTCAAAATAATAACTTCTGGGTATATACATTATATAATCTGGAAGGTAGAACGGAGTTAATTTCTATTAATTCTATCTGCCCTATGAGATTCTTAGTTAATAAAACATCAATTATGAGAAGTCGATTGTAAAAAGTAATAACTACCAGCAATAAATTTAAAATTCATTTTACCGTCGACTTGCCAGCACCGAGATAGCCAGTGATGACTGTGACGCCTACCGGTGGAATCTCGTGTTCAACGACGTCGTCGATTTCGACGGCGAGCGGCGGCTCTTCTTCGTCTACCGGTACCATATTCGGGCCGGACTTGATTTCAATTTGAGGAATTTATTAGTCAGGAAATGGTGGCTAATGGCTGGCCATCCGCCCACTTATACCTTTTGACCAAATTTTTTGTTAAAAAAATAAAGAAAGAAATATAAACAAAATCTGAAGGGGCGAAAATACCCCCCTCATTTGCAAAGATGAGAAGAGTTATATAGAGAGAAAAAAAGAGGAGAAAAAAAAGGAAAAACTAGTCCGGATCCTGCCACCTACGGACGATTCGGACCTGACCCACTTCGACCAAGATCGGACGCACCTCGATTAGTTGGAGAACGCCGTTTTCTGGAAGGTTAGACATGTTCTCTATAAATAATTACTTTGAATATGTGAAAGTTTGAATGTTTATGATTTGAATGTGAGTTAAATTCAATTTTTTATGGTTAAAATGGAAGAAAAGATCGAATCTGAGGTTGAAATGTTGAAAAAAGTGAAAAAATGAGATGGAGCTTGTCGAAAATGGAGCTTTCCGACGAGCTCCAGCCCGTTACAGACCATCCTGGCAAAGGGTCCCTTTTTTTTCCGGAATTTATTTTAATTTTTATGTTAAAAAATGTACTTAAATATGAAATAAATAATATATATGTTAAGATAAAGAACAAAATATTTAAAGATAAATTAAATAGAAATTTAATTTTTTTTACTTAAATATATGTTTAGTAATTAAATATACGAAATAAATAATAAATATATGTTTAGTAATTAAATATATGAAATAAATAATATACATTTTAAGACAATTAAAATAATTAATTATGGAAACAATTAATGGAATTAATTAAAGAAATACTTAAATGAAATATTATATATTTTTATTCAAATAAATAATCGAAATAGAGTACTTAAAAATGAAATCAATAATATACATAATTAACGAAATATTTAAAGAATAAATTGAATTGAATAATAATTTTCTTACTTAATCAATTAAGATAATTAATTAAAGAAATAGTTAAATGAAAATCGAATTAAATATTATTATTTTTATTCAAATAAATAATCAAAATAGAGTAATTAAATATGAAATAAATAATATACAAAATTAACGAAATATTTAAAGAATAAATTAAATTGAATAATATTTTTTTTTACTTATCGAATTAAGATAATTAATTAAAAAAATAGTGAAATGAAAAATTGAATTAAATATTATTATTTTTATTCAAATAAATAATCAAAATAGAGTAATTAAATATGAAATAAATAATATACAAAATTAACGAAATATTTAAAGAATAAATTAAATTGAATAATAATTTTCTTACTTAACCAATTAAGATAATTAATTAAAGAAATGGTTAAATGAAAAATCGAATTAAATATTATTATTTTTAATCAAATAAATAATCAAAATTGAATAATTAAATATGAAATAAATAATATATATATTCAGATAATTAACGAAATATAATTTTTAAAGAAATATTAAATAATCAAATATGTGAGAATTTTTTTGTTTAACTGTTTTAATATATGATTGGATGAATCTATTTATTACTTGATTAATATGAAGTCTGATTGGTTAAATTTGAAGATACGATATTTTATTTATAATCTCTTGTATATGATTTTAACATGTATTATTTTTGTAGGATGGAATATCATATGGACAACGATCTGAGAACTCATTTGAGAAAAGTTCCGACGTATTGTAACTTTTTCAACTATGCAACAGTGATTGAGAGGCTGGATGAGGAGCACATCAACATACTCCATTGATCATTTTTATAGTTCTTCTATCCGTTGAAAGACGTGCAGTTCTCCGGACAGATTATTGATTCTTTATTACTCTGACTGCTTAAATCAGTCGATGGCGATCAACTTTATTGTGCTATGGGGGACGGGAAGGTATCGAGATTCTCGATCCTTGAATCTGCCCTCATTACAGGTTTGAGATGTACTAGAGAAGAAGAAGCGAGGGCTTGTATTATACTAAATAAAATGTTATTGGATTTATATTTTGGAGGTAAATGGTCGGTTACACCACCACAGTTAGAGGACGCATTTAGGAGATGCAATCACATATTAGACAAGCTGAAGTTAGGATTGGTGTATATATTGGAGAGTATATTAAGGTGTCAACATCGTAGGACGTCGATTGACCTTTTTTCATTGGATGTTGTTGATGATATCGATGCTTTCAACAGCTTTTCATGGGATCGAAGATGTTACATCGATACTCGCCACGTATGCAGGAGGGTACATACTATGCCAAAATCGAAGAGGGACGAGCGCAAATATGATGTATATGACTTTTGCATGGCTTTGCAGGTAAATATTAAGCTTAACGTAATGCGTGTTAAACTTTTTTATTAAATATATAAGTAATATATATTGGTAATTGTTGTAGTTGTGGGCATATGAGGCTATCCCTACTTTGGGTAGCAAATGGGCGATCAGAAAGGAGACCAGCTACCCACGAATGCTTCATTGGCGAGCACATGAGAAGTTATAGGCTAAAGATTTGACAGCTATCATCGATGATCCTCAGGTAAGTATTATATATTTGCAATTTTTATTGTACGTACATTAACTCGGCTCGATATATGCTCGTTAATATGTTGAAATATGATATGTCAGCTCGAAGTTCATGTTGAGTTGGTTGTTTCGATGGAAGAGAAGGATCAAATATATGTACGTGAATTACATGTTCGACCTACTGAAAACGATCCAGTGTTTGAGTTCGTTTCGGATAGAAATAGGGTACATTTATTTAAGATCATTATTTATTCTGACTTATAATATTCATGTGTGGATTATTAATATTAATTGTCTTCTCTGTGTAGGAGCGTCATCCAGTAGAATGACGAGCACTTCCACATAGGAGATCTCATTCGCCTCCACCGATGAGATCTCCGTCGCATTCACCGATGAGATCATCTCTACCGCCATTATCACATTCTCCGAGGAGATCTCCGTCTCCCGCACCCACCCACATTCCACGTGGATCGCCTGCACCTAGTCAAACCCATCATTCAAATGATTTCATTGCACGCATGACTGGTATTATTAGAGAGGAACTGGGAACAATGTGACGTGATTTTATGACAAAGGTAGTAGCACTACGAGAGGAGTTAGGGGTGCTACGATGGGATTTTACGATAAAGGTAGTAGCACCACGAGATGAGATTGGAGTGCTGCGACGAGATATAGGAGATCTTCATACTAAGGTTGCAGCACTTCGAGGCGATGTAGCAGGCTTTCGAAGTTCTGTTAGAAGGAGTGTCGGGGAGACTGGTGTTCCTCGAGATTGGTGAGCAACGGCCGCAGGATTCGATGAGTTTTTTAATTCATTGTCGGAGGCCGGGAGGGAGGGGGTGGAGGTCGGGTCAGAGGTGCCAGAGGAGGCCGAGATAGAGGGGGTTGAGGGAGGGACAGGAGGTACCGAAGGGAGAGACAGAGGTGCCGAAGGGGGTGACCGAGGAGGTAGCGGAGGGGACACCAGAGGTGGTATTAGAGGGGGATGAAGGGGTTGCGGAGGACGAGAGGACGTCAGAGATGGCGGATGACGATGTGGTATTTGTGTCGGAGGGGGAGACGGAGGTGCCGAAGGGTAAGAAGCATGCTAATGACACGCTAGAGCTGATGGTCAATAAGAGATTGAGATTGTCATCATAGTACATCGTTTCCCTATACACGGTCGAGGCGAAGAGAAGGGGGTTTGTGGATGGGACGTTCCCCAATCTTTTTCACGATGTCAATCCGGTCAGACAGAAGGCGTTCGATGATTGGTTCAAGTCCCTTAACTTCGAGTAAGTATTTTATGATTTTGTTACTCTTTTTTGGTATTTTTCGTAACTTTTTTTCATTTTTCAGAGATAGTTATACCATCGGCTATATGACTGTGCCCAACGCTAAAAAGTGGTTCGAAGATGTACTAACGACCTCAACTTGGCTCGCCGATGATGTAAGTTTTTTGAGTTTCCATTTATTATATTTATAGAAATTGTTGGTTCATTTACTTAAACGACTCTATCTTTTTTGTTCGCGTTTTTTTGTTTCAGCATATCGACTTGGCTATGGAATTGTTACGCGATCGGGCTCAGAGATACCTGAGATCTTACGACAGTCCTAGTCGAGTTATCCTAAGCTCTGAGTTTGTTCGTATCGTAGATATTGAGCATCACGAGATCCTAAGCAAGGGGAATGAATATGTTTTGTCTGAGTACATGCTAGAGTGGGTGATTGGGCTACAGCTGAGGTGCGGAAAGCCGTGGACGAATTGTACACATATGTACATTCGAGTGATCGCGAACTCACACTGTTTTTCATTTGAGATCGTACTTGATAATTTCACTATGTATGCGTACGACTCTAATCATAGCTGTCTAACACAAAGTCAACTGGAGCAAATAATGGAGCCAACGGCTGTGATCGTGCCCATGATGACTAGTCATGCGATGATTCGAGTAAATGACAGATTAGCCATTGTGCGGAACATAACAATGACAAAACAAGAAAGATCGTAAGGATTTAAAACATTTTAATTTTAAGATTTAATTTTTAGTTATATGTTATCGAACTAATATATTCTTCTTTGGTTGTAGGGGCGACTGTGACTTATTTACAATAAAGTACATATAGTTTTTGAGTATTGGTCGCAATGTTGATACAATAAATCAGTCTTGGATTGATATGTGGAGGCATAAATTAGCTTGTGATGTGTATGAATATAACTGTGATCATTAGTGCATTGTATATTATTTTATTGAAATGTAAATGTTGTTTACTTCAGTATGATTCGTGTTATAATGTAATAATTTTTTTAAATATTTAATTACAGAAATACTTAAATGAAAACTCGAAATAAGTGCTATTATTCTTATTCAAATAAATAGTCGATAATTAAAAATAAGTAATTAAATATGAAATCATTAATATACGTACTAAGATAATTAACAAAATATTATTATTTTAATTTATATTGTTGTTGTTTCTATAATCTCTCTATATTGTCAATTAATATATATCGTTGTCTCACTTGTATTAAAAGCAAAAAAACAAAATATTATTATTTTAAATTACATAAGTAATCGAAATATAGCAATCAAATATTAAATAACAATATACACATTAAGATAATTAACGAAATATAATTTTTAAAGGAATATAAATAATCAAATATACGTGCCAAATGAAGATATTTAATGAAAGAAATACTTAAACGAAAACTCGAAGTAAGTACTATTATTTTTATTCAAATAAATAATCGAAATAAATAATTAAATATGAAATAATTAATATACGTACTAAAATAATTAACAAAATATTATTATTTTAATTTACATTGTTGTTGTGTCTATAATCTCTCTATATTGTCAGTTAATATATATCATTGTTTCACTTGTATTAAAAGAAAAAAAAAACAAAATATTATTATTTTAATTTACATAAGTAATCGAAATATAGCAATCAAATATTAAATAAACAATATACACATTAAGATAATTAACGAAGTATAATTTTTAAAGGAATATAAATAATCAAATATACGTGCCAAATGAATATAATTAATGAAAGAAAAACTTAAACGAAAACTCGAAGTAAATGCTATTATTTTTATTCAAATAAATAATCGAAATAAGTAATTAAATATGAAATAATTAATATACGTACTAAGATAATTAACAAAATATTATTATTTTAATTTACATTGTTATTGTGTCTGTAATCTCTCCATATTGTTAGTTAATATATATCGTTATCTCACTTGTATTAAAAGGAAAAAAAAAAGCAAAATATTATTATTTTAATTTACATAAGTAATCAAAATATAACAATAAAATATTAAATAAACAATATACAGATTAAGATAATTAGCGAAATATAATTTTTAAAGGAATATAACTAATCAAATATACGTTGCAAATGAAGATAATTAATGAAATAAATACTTAAAAGAAAACTTGAAGTAAGTGCTATTATTTTTATTCAAATAAATAATCGAAATAAGTAATTAAATATGAAATAATTAAGTTTTTTACTTAACCAATTAATATAATTAATTAAAGAAAAACTTAACCAATTATACATAACCAATTAAATATTTAACTGGTGCAATATATCAATTATTAAATCGTAATATTTAAATCAATTCTAGTTTTTTATTCAAATATGTTGTTAAAAAGAATAATTAAACAATGTGATAAAGATTACATCCGATTTAAATTGAGAAAATAAAAAACATATTACAAAAAGAAAATACATATGATTTATATAGATACTACATATCCGTCGAGTCATTGTTTAGAGGGATCTGACTTGTACAAAATCGACGTGTATGTCCTGTAGCGCCGCACCTCCCGCACTTACTTGGTTGTGGAAACTCTCCTGTAGATGGTATTCTAGACGTCCGTCTATGACTAGGAGTACACGGTGGAACTTCAGGTGGCAACAAATTATTAAGTGCTATAATATAATCAGGAACTTCCCACTCGACTTCATTTGGTAGAGAAAAAATAGTTTCGGCATACGCTGCTCTCCAAAAATCAGCCATGTAATAATGACTGCATAAGCCGTGTGGTGGAAATCCTCTATACATAGCCACTGCGACAACATGCGCACATGAAAAACTGTCCAACTGAAATTGTCTACACGTGCAGGTATTGTCATTCAAGTCTACAATGTATCCAACATTACGCCCACATCTCACAGAGAAGCGAAATTGATCTAGTGATTTCACAAATAGAGCTTTTGCCACTTCCAGAGTTTTGAATAGTCGATCTTCCTACGCTGGAGCTAGCACACTCGTGCAATTCTGGGATTCCTCACGTCAGTCATAAAATCGCTGTTGCAACTTGTTACGAATATGTTCAATCATTGTGAGAATTGATAACTCTTGATCCTTCTTGAATAATGCATTGAGCGACTCCGCATTATTCGACGTCATTATGTTGTATCGACGTCTTGAAAAATGTGACCGTGCCCAATGTTCCGCCCCCATATTTGATAGATATTCTCATGCACTTTTTGATTTATGCTCTATTTCATCCATGAACTTCGTAAACTCTTCAAAACTGTAAGCTTCTGCAGCTTTTTTAAACAATGCAACGATGCCACTGCCCCGGTACCTAGTCTTCTGGTTGCCCTGAATGTGATACATGCAATAACCATTGCGTGCTTCCGAAAAAACTTCGGCTATACCATTTATTATTGACTGCCCCCGGTCAGTCACAAATGCAAGGTTCTCGATGTCCCCAATTACTTCACTTAGCTTTGTGAAGAACCAACGCATTGCTAGATCAGTCTCTCCATCGACAATGCCAACTGCAAGAGGGTAAATTTGGATATTGGCATCTTGACATATAGCAATAATCAACTTCCCTTCATATCTAGCTTTTAGGGCTGTACCATCATCTAGAATTCGAGGTCGCATCGCATTTTGAAAACCTCTAATGTATTGTCCAAGAGTCATAAAAAAATACTTGAAGCGATTCTGCTCATCGATTTTAATAA